GATACACAGAAAAAACCTAATCTCAAATTAAGTACAAAATTTATACTCAATTTGATACGCATCAAAAATGAGACAGGCAGATGGCGCCACGTTCTATGTCATTTAACGTGAATTCATTTTGAGATTCAACAAATATGAGTCCAACTTTTTTCTGTGATAATTAGTTTCAAAAGTACAAAAATTCCAAGAGAAATGTTCTAATATAATTTTTAACATATTCCTGATAGTTTGAGACGGATATATATAGCTATATTATACGAACTCGAAAATAGCAAAAACTTCGAAAAATATCATTGGAGCCATTTTAAATGTGCCGTTAATAAACCAAGTTTTGCTCTTCATGAGATTTTTTGAATTTTCTCGAGTTACGAAAACACATAATTATTCTAACACACTTTAAATTGCAGTCATCATACTCAAACGAATCATACAATAAGAAATCTTCCCCTGATGCTGTTCTACCTATCTTAATTACACAGAAAATTAAAAGGTATTAAAATAAGCTGCAACGCTTATTATTTTAATCCAATTTTGCTTATTTTAATACCAAAATGGATTAAAATAAGCAAAATTGGATTAAAATAAGAAGCGTTGCAGCTTATTTTAATGCCTTTTAATTTTCTGTGTATTTTAAATCATTTCAATGACTTTGAATTTAATTTAAATTGTACTAAAAATTGTACTAAAAATTGTACTAAATTGTACTAAAATCAAGGAATATTGTTTATTTACATTAAATTTGAAAATTAAAATGGTTTTCTTCGAAACAAAATGAATTATAATAAGTATGAGAGTAGCTGAGTATTGGCTTGTATTCTTTTTTTTATTTTTTGGGCAAATTTTAAAACAAATAATATACTTTGGAAAAAGAACTTTTTGGAACTTTTCGCTTAGAACTTTTTTGACTTTTTTAATTATGCAATGTTACTAATGATTTTAGAACATCCATTACAATATTACTGCATTAAAAAAGTGTTTTTTATTAACAAAATAAATGTTATAAACAAATTAAGTTAAAAATACGATTTTTTACAATAAATGTATGACTAAACAACAATATACGATATACGAAGTGGAGCAAAATTAAGTCAGGTTGGTGGCGCAACTTTCTATGTCGTTTAACATTGATTCGCATTTTGAGTTGCAACAAAAATGAGACTAGGTTTTTTCTGTGAATATGTCTATAAAGATTTTGGAGTTGCTGATTACGAATCTGGCATCAGATTTTGAAAGTTCAAAATGGTAGATCCAATATGGCGGATGACAAAATTAAAAATTGATCAGATTTGCTTAAAACTATTATGTTACTCGAGGGTTTTTGGGGTTTCTGATTACGAATATGACGTTGGATTTTCAAAATTCAAAATGGCAGATGCAACATAAGATAATAAATAATATTATATTATAATATTAATATATAAAATAAATAAACTTTAGGTAATTAATTTATCAGCCATTTTGGATCCACCATTTTGAATTTTAAAAAACTGACATCGAATTCATAATCAGCGACTCCGAAAATCCCCTAGTAACCAGTTTCGAGCGGATTCGATTAATTTAAAAAACAAATTGTCCGCTATATTGGATCCGACATTTTGAATTTTGAAAATTTTAATAATTTTTGACTTTGGATTTGTAATCAGCGACCATTAAAACACCGTTTAGTGCACTTGAGCAATAAATTCCTGTTATTGAAAAATGTATATAAAGGGTTAATGCTGCCTTTCCTTTTTGCTATCAAGGAATTTTGTGACAGTGCCGGATTTCCCTATTTTCCCCGCACAGTGCAAACAATTATGATGTTGATTTTCTCTGGTGATGTTTATTTCTTTCATCATAGCAATTTTATGAATTCCTAAGTCGTTATTGTTATAATTGATTTAAATTTTTTAAATATTGATTTAATTTTTGAATTGACTATAATTTTGAACAATATTGTTGCATTAATAATGAATTTTCGACATCTGATAACATTTCTATTAATTGTGCGTTTTCTTCTTAAAAGTAGTCGTGACTACTTTATATTTAATTTTTGAATTGACTAATTTTGACTAATGTTGTTGCATTACTTATTCCCGCGTGTAGAAATTTTGCCATGGCTTGAATCGGGGTCTGATCGGATAGTAATGCAACGCCGGGTCTGATGTCACTACCAGGGCCCTAGTAGGGAAATTTCTACACTGGTTATAATAATGAATTTTCGCCACCTGCTAAAATTTTTAGGGGAGATAGGGACAAACAGGCCATGTTAACAGTTGTAAGGCTCTAGTAACTAAAGAAACTAATGAAAAATCTTTTATAATAGCTTGTTGGAAAGGTCATCTAATTGCGCAACTTTTTCCTACAGACAGATGTACCTTAAAATGTATTGTTTATAGCTGCTACATCAATTTTAAAAAAATTTGCAAACTGGCCGGTTTGACCCACCCCTGAGGTAAACCGGCCAGTTTATTTATTTTTTGTTTGTTTAGAGAATTAATTGTAAGGAAATCGTCACTAAATATAAAAAATCAATAAACAATCTTCCCAATAAGGAAAATAATAAGATAGGATTAAATTTCAATTAAAGAAACATCTTATTTATTATATAAAACAAATATTTTCAACTAATTGTTGTCGTTCACGAAGAAACGTCTGTGGGTGATCTTTGTAAAACTTCGTAAATCTCCGTAAAGTGGACAAAGATTCACGAAAGCGTGCACGAATTTTTTAGCCATTTCTGTTGCATCAAGAGAAACGCAGATATAGGCCGGTTTGCCCCACAGGCCCATTTTGACAATTAAGAGCTGTATAAAAAAAATGCTTAGTAAAATCATTAAATAATATACCGATAAATTTAACTGAGGCATGCACCTTTTAAACCTGAAAAACAATTTTAATAATTAATATTACACGATTTTCTCACAAATTGCTTATATGAACAGATCCGTAAAAATTTCTAGTTGAAGCGAAAAAACAAACTTTTGTTTATAAAATTGCATAAACACAATGAAAAAATGTCAAACTGAAGAAATAAGTTATTCTTAATATAGCGTCTTTTCAAATTTATAATTGACATATTAATGTCTCCCCTACCAATGCATTTTCTTCTGAAAACTTTAAGTCGTGATTTGTACTACAGATAATATAATTTTTATATTTAATTTTCATAAGATATTGCAAATTGATGTAGGGGAGGATGGGGTAAGGATAGTTATAGGTAAGACATTTTTAGATCTAGCAGCTAAAATTCGCATCGGAAAAAGAATAATATCGTTCGAAAGCCTGTTTATTTAGCTACAATTTTGTAATACACATTATTTTGCTGTAGATTGCAATGCCTTCGAGATATTAGCGGAAAATTAAAAAAAAAATTTAACTATCCTTGCCCCATACTATTGGGGCAAGGATAGTTATCAAAATTCTTTTTACGAAAAATAATCAAAAAAAGACATTAAATTTGGGGGTTTTTTTAATTTCATTGGATAAAAGCACCTCAAAACACTTCAAAGCACTACCAAAAAAATTTTTTGGGCATAAATAAATATTTAAAACAGTTAATATCTGAAACAGTGTTTTAAACAGAACTCAGAGATTTTAGAAAAAACAGGATTTTCACAAATAGCTTCCACAAATGATATCGCATCAAGATCAAATTTTTCTTGACGTCTTTTGGTGTTAAAACAAAGTATATAAGAAGAATAGTATGCCCTTTTTGAAGAAGCCGTATAGGCAATAGAACCACTAACTATCCTTGCCCCATCCTCGCCCCTATTGATCTAATGGAGACATACGGTAACATGTTAAAATTGCTTGCATTCATTTTTATTATTTCGAACAACTGCATGGAAAAAATTTTGATGCACCGGTTGTACTGGTTAGTTAAAAAATTTTTTGTACTTTAAAAACGGACATCAGTTATCCCGGTTTGGTGCAAACTATGTCCCTTACAGCCGGCTTCTGACGCGCCAAATCAGCTCTCTTAATTTGAATCAGTGAAATTTCACTGGTGAAATAGCTAGAAGTCGGTTACTGAATCATTTAGTAAAATTTTCACTGAAAATCAGTCATATATCACTGATTTTCAGTGAAAATTTTACTAAATGAATCAGTCAATCTGTTTTACCCATTACCGATAATACAGATTGACTGATTCATTTAGTAAAATTTTCACTGGAAATCAGTGATATATGACTGATTTTCAGTGAAAATTTCACTAAATGATTCAGTAACCGACTTCTAACTATTTCACCAGTGAAATTTCACTGATTCAAATTAAGAGAGAGAATAACAGTTGCCCGCAACCCATAGTACAACAGTTCTACCTTAGATTGCGCATCTGATAATGCACTAAAAATTTTTCCGTATGTCCATTCGGGAAAAGAACGTTTGACTCTCTACCCAGCGCAGTGTCACTCAGCCAATCAAAGTTCCTTCACCCCCTCCCCTACCTTCTTATACCGAACTATGAGACTTCAGTTATCCCGCGCTACATTAACCAAAAAGGTGATGGTCCAAAACTGTATTAATATATATCAAAAGAACAAACTCATCCTCCTTGATCCATTATCCTATTTCTCAATCTCCTTTGGCTATATATATTTGGGCAATAGGCGAATGGTAAGGACAGAAGGATGATGAGGATAAGGAGAATTATAAGGAAATGGAGAGGGGAAGAAAGGGGAGTACTATATATGTAAGACATGTAACACAGGGAGACGTCGGCCGACGGCTTTCAAAACCATTGGAGGGCAAGGAGGGGGGGGGGGAGAGTCGAATTTCAAAGCAGAGTGAGAGAGAGAGAAAAGAGGAAGGGTAGTTCGCGGTCCGCGGAGGTTGGTCGTTGGGTCGGGGGGGTAAGGTGGGCGTTAGGAGAGTACGCGGGAGGGAGAGGAGGGGCGTCGCGGCAAGCCGATGGGGGGTATGAGGACGGTTAAGAGAAGTGGCGGGGAACGGCGGGTGGTACCGGCGCTTGGTGGGTGGGGGGAGTGTTTAGGAGGGGCGCCGAACTTCACGGGCGCATTCACTCACCGGCCGTCGCCGACTAAGGCCGCGTTTTGCGTTCGTAACACGCAAAAAAAAAAAAAAAAAAACCGAAAAAAAAATTTCACCCTCCAGGTCAGTTTTATTAAATCCCCCCGTGCACTCGTGACCTCTACCACCACCACTATTATCACCCCCCTACTTTAATAAAATTCTTTTCTCAAGTTTGATGACCCTTTTCTATTCTCAAATGATTATTACCAAAGACAGTTTGTCGTCGCGCTCTTATTTCAATTAATTTTTTTTTTTTTTTAATTTTCAGTGTGTTTTTTTTTTTGGATAATTGTGCAATATTGTTATTCGCTAAAAATAGTGTTTACGCGATTTTTTTTTTTTTAAGCGTGCAATATTTATATATTATAGTCGGTTATTGTGCGACGCAGTGATTGCGGTTGAAGAAATATATTGGTGTGTGATATTTAGATGATAAATATATATATATTTATATAAATGTGTTTGGAAGACTTTTTTTGTTGTTTTGATAAATAAATATATATATTTAAATGATAAAAGTTATGTTTGTGACGTGTTTAACGTTGCGCAACTTGAGATCAGGTGGAAAATAGTGCGAATTTTTTTGGAGTGTTATATATATATGAGCATGTGTGAGGATCAGCTGATGTTTCAAAAGGAGTCGCTTTTCGAAATATATATATATATTATACATGTGTAAAAGGCTTTGGATGTTCGTCTGTGTGCTTCTCGTTTTCGCGCCAACGTGATTCCATCGCGCGCTAAAAGGATCTCTCTCTCACTCACTCTTCCCACGTGTCCTTTATTGTGATTGCAAGTTTCTCTGCCGTATATATCGAGGGTTCGAAGGGGAGAACTCTTGGAGAGTTTGTTCAATCTTTTTTTTGAGGTACTTGAACGTTGTTTTTTTTTTCTTTTTATTTCATTGACACATATAAATATCTTATATTTCTTATAAGGTGTTTACTTCTATTTTGAGTTAAATAAATGTTTATGTGCGAATAAATCTTTTTTTTTTTTTTTTGGTGCACATTTGAAAAAGAAATTTATTTGATTATTTGAATATATTTAAATATATTTATTGGAATAATTTTTATTTGTATTAAAAAATTACACGAAGCTGAAGTACGCAACGTTTACGATAAACGATTTTTAAAGAAATAATTTTTTAAAATGAAAAATTTCTATAATTTTTTGCCTAAAAAATAGTTTTTGTATAATTTGTTGATTAATGAAAACTACAAGAAATATTTTTTAGGCAAAAAATTATAGAATTTTTCATTGTAAAAAATTATTTCTTTAAAAATTGTATATATAAACGCGTTGCGTACTTCAGCTTCGTAAAAAATTTAATTTAATTTAAAATTTTAAACCAAAAAATATGTGGAATTATAAAAAAAAATTTTTAGGGGGTCCGAAACAGAAAAATCATCTTGTATAATATTTTGTAACTAAAATTAGAAAAGAAAATATTTTTTAAGACGGAAAATTATAAAATTTTTGTATCTATACTTAAATAATTAATTAACATAAAATATTTATTTGATTAATAGTCAAGTAACCGCATTTATTTGAATCAAATATATTTTTTTCATTGTACTATTAAAAAAAACAATTTATTTTTTAAAATTGGTTTTCGCAATAGTTTTTGTATTCCAATTGAGTTAATTTCAGATTCCAAACACTGGTTTTGAACCAAGCATAATTTATTATCAATTATTCAGAAAAAAAGTGTTAGTTAAAAAAATTTGTATTTTTCAAGTGTTACTTATTGTTTTTTTGGATAATAAAGTTTCTAATTAGAAATAATTTCTGATCACTCTCAATAAATTGATAAAAAAAAATTTTCCTGGCGTTAAAAAATATACTTGATTATATATATATATATATATATATATATATATATATATATATAGCAAAATTTAATTTAATGCTACTTTTTGGACAATGTCCAAAATACGAAGAGTTCTATATATAAACGAGAAAAAATTCATTATCGAAAAATTTTTTATTTTTTTAATTTTTCTTCAATTTATTAATAATGTAAAGTGACTTTATTTTGTGACTCAGGTGATATATGTGAAATTGAATTTTTTTGTGGTTTTTGGGTCCTTATTTGAAATAAATTCAAAACTTAGATGTTGATTTTTTCTTTATAAATTTTCCGATCCTTGTTTGTGTCCTCTTATAAGTAAAAATTTTTTATTTACCATAAATTACATAATTTTTTATTTTAGTTTAATTATGTACTTTTTTTAATTTCAAATTTTATTATAAAATTTATTTCTTTCTGATAAATGATTTTATTTACTTAATAAATTTGAATTTGTTTTTCAGTGTAATATTTATTTTTATATAATATTTGGTTTATATTTGTAATCAAATGCGACGTTGCTAAAACCACAGAAAATTCAATTTTATATATTAATAATAACTATTTTTTAACTGAAAATCGAAATTTGAAAATTAAAAATTTACTATATACAATCGAAATACAAAAAAAATTCCTAAAAACAATTTTATAAATCATATAAGTTTCTTTATAAACATAAAAAGTGTAACCATCACCCCCCCACCCGGAAAAGGGTTAAAAGTGTCCATACTTTAGTTTTTCTCCACAAAATGTATATCTGTGAATAGCAAAAAAAACAATAGTTAAAAAAATTAAAATATTTTTTAAAAAATAATATTAAAATATTCTGTGCAATGAAAAAATCATATACGTATATTTTTTCGTTGTAGAATAGTATTGTTTAATTAAAAAATTACATACATATATTAAACGTTAACAATTTACGGTTACTTTTTTTAATTATTTAAAATTATTTAATTTTTAATTAAATGATTTTAATAATAATAATAAAATAATAATAAATATAATCAATAATAATTTTAATAATTTTAATTAAATCTGACAATTTTTCAGTTTATAATATTGTATTTATTTTATAAAAAAAACTTTTTTTAAATCTCATTTTTTCGTTTTTTAAACAATTAAAAATAAAATTTTAGAGGGTCCGGAACATAAAAATATTACCCTATATATATATATATATATATTAATTGACAAGATAAATTTACAATTACGCACCAGATGTGAAATTTATCAGAAATAATGTGTGTGTTTTCTTCCCTATAACATGTGAATTTCTCTTTTATTTATTTTCTATATACACTGATGAAATCGTTTGCCCGTCGCTATCTCAAATCTGACAATTTATATATGTTATTCTACAGAGGTTAATCGAATTAAAGAACAAGAAGAAAATGTCAACAATATTTGACAATTATTTCAAATATATATATATATATATATATATATATATATATATATATATATATATATATATATATATATATGTAGAAAAACATTTTTGACATTTTCTAAATTTTCCTTCATATATATATATATATATATATATATATATATATATGTTTATTATAGGGAAAAAGTTTTATTTTAAACGATATATATAATTCGATTGGTATTTTCTAGCCGCAATTTATAGAAAATTCATTAAGTTTAATAAAAAATATTTAAATTTATAATGAAAATTGTTTTAATGAAAAAAATAGGTTTGAAAAAAAATATTTTAAAAAATATATATGTTCGAACAAACTAAATAGGGTCAGTTGGGGTAAATGGGGACAAGTGGTTTTGGAGCTTAATTTAAAGTTTTAAAATTAAGTTCAAGGTCAATATTTTAACCTCAGATCACCTTCAAGAGGTTTTGAGTATTGCCAAGCTTTTATCTTGACAATTGGCAGCAAGATAAAAAAAAGTTATCGCTCAATGCATAAAAACTATTGAAAATCAAATAGTCAAACTGTTTCAGTATTTTGTCTCGCATTTGAAAAAAAACAGACTTAAAAATCATACCAAATTTTTTTCTTATTCCTTATGACTCCCATAACAGAAATTCACTTGAATTTTTGATTTTTGTCAATTTGGTTAATAATGACAAACTGTCCCCATTTACCCTGAGTTTTCAAATTTTTGGGGTAAATGGAGACAGCTTGTCATTATTAACCAAATTAACAAAAGTAAAAAATTCAAGTGAATTTCTGTTATGGGAGTCATAAGGAATAAGAAAAAAATTTGGTATGATTTTTAAGACTGATTTTTTTCAAATGCGAGACAAAATACTAAATTGAAAAAAAAAAATAAAAAAATTTCAATTGGTTCAACTATTATATATCTACTGCAAATTTTTTTCAAGTTTTTTCATCCCTTAAGGCCAGGCTCCTCCAAAAACCGTGTTTTTTTCAAACAAATTTTATTTATATTACAAAAAATATTTATAAATCAAAGTTTTTATAAATTAAAAGACTTATAAAAGTACTACTTGAAAAAAATTTTTTTTCTTATTTTTTCAAAATGGCGGCTCCTAAAATCGCTGCCGAAACGCGTCCTTCGTGTTGGTGGGTGACAGGATAACTCAAAAACGAATCATCTGAAAGCAAAAATCAAAACGGTTTCTTAATCTGTATCACATTGGCTATGGTGTGAACTACAATAAAATATTTTCACCAAAAAAAAACAAAATGGCAGACTTTTTAAGTTTTTTACCCTTTTTTTTCACTTTTAATTGTTTATAACTTTTGTAAATAACAATGAATATTTTTGGTTGTAGTTTACACCATAGCCAATGTGATACAGATTAAGAAACCGTTTTGATTTTTGCTTTCAGATGATTCGTTTTTGAGTTATCCTGTCACCCACCAACACGAAGGAAGCGTTTCGGCAGCGATTTTAGGAGCCGCCATTTTGAAAAAATAAGAAAAAAAATTTTTTTCAAGTAGTACTTTTATAAGTCTTTTAATTTATAAAAACTTTGATTTATAAATATTTTTTGTAATATAAATAAAATTTGTTTGAAAAAAACACGGTTTTTGGAGGAGCCTGGCCTTAATACAGTAATATATTTAAGGAAACTTTTTTCTTAAAACTTTCTTAGAAACTATACTGTCCCCATTTACCCCAAATTTTAGGAAATTTTCTAAATTTTGGGATAAATGGGGACAGTCAGTTTCATGCGTTTAAAGATTATCTAAATTTTTTTCTGCTGCATAAAATTAATCCTGGGAATGTAAATAACAATTTAAAAATAAATAAACCCGCAAATACATACCTTTTAAAGGAAGAAACGTATACGTAATTTGTGAAAAATAGCGATTTTGTCCCCATTTACCCCAACTGACCCTATATTTGATTGAATAAACTAAATATTTTGTTGAATAAAACCAAATATTTAGTTAATTCTATCATTTTTTTAATATGCTTTATATTAATAAACAATTAATAATTGTAAATAAATATAAAAAATAAAATGTGCACGGATTAAAAATACTTTTCTCTATAACTATATGTAAATATTAAAAAAGTTTAATTTTTCAGTTTTGGAATTATTTTAAATATATTAACTGAAATATGAATATAAAACAAGAAATTCGCTATATTGTAATTTTTATAATTTGAACTTTATATATAAATGACCTCACAAACGTCACGAGGACGTCTTCTCTTCTGTGTTCAAAAAAAAAAATATATATATATACATTTCTCAGAAAATCCTGCGAATTGAGGCCGTTTCACATAATCATTTGTTTCACCTGTAATGTGTAAATGGCCTTCCTTCTTTCAATAATTTTTAACATAATTTTCACTGCAGTATATATATATATATATATATATATATATATAACTTGTAAAATCAATTAATAATCAATTCTTAGAAATTATTAACATAAACTTTTCAAATTACGCACATTTGTGAAAATTATTATGTTACATTTCTTTACGTTTTTTTTATTTATAAATTTTATTATTTATATTACACATATTATTTATATTATTATTATTATAATTATAATAATTATTATAATATTATTTATAAATTCTATCCGAACTAATTATTTATAAATAATACAAAAAATAAAATTTGTTTATTTTTAAAAAAATCATATTTACAGTTAAATATTTACAATTTATAATATATGGTACAAAACAATTTTTTGATATTATCGACAAATTATCGTGCATGCAAATTTTAAACTCAATTTTTTAAATTGGCACGATATTTTGGCATAAGAAGTAAAATAATAAAAAATAAAAATAAGTTTACTGTACACATTATGCAAATCAATATTTTTTTTTTATTGGAAAAATTTTTTTTGTCAGCACTATTTGTATGTTCTGACATTTATTTATATATATATATATATATATATATATATATATAAATAGTAGAAGTGTGAAAAGATTATAACGTAAATTTGAAAGCTAAGTCAGTTTAATCGAACAGAAAGTTTTCCTGGACACGTGCAACTTTGACAACTAAAATTTGCAAGGAGTCGAAGCGTGGCGCACAGTAACGGTTCACAATTTCACGGCACCCAGAACACATTTTGCTCTTCTTCATGGGCAATTTTAGCTTGTCAGTTATTATGTCTCTTTCTCTCTTCATATATACATCTCTCTTAACAGGAAATACAATTTTTTCCTATACTTAAATATATACAAAGTAATCAACTTCATTCCAAATTATTTACAATGAAACTTCTATAAACTGTTTTTCGCATTCAGTTTTTAGTTTGATGCAATAAATAAAAATTAGAAAAAAAAAATTTCGTTTTTTTGTATTATAAAATTTTGTTCATCTAAAGTAAAATTTTGTTAAAATTGATATATTTTATAGTTTAATTACTTACATTAATTAATTTAACATTGAAATAATATTTATTTAACTAATTCAACATTTGATTAATTTAACAGAAAATTAATATTGGTTTATTTAATTTAACATTAAATTTATATTTCACGCAAAAAAAAATCTTTACCCAAAACAGCGATAAGTTTCTCTGAAAAAGCGATATATTTCTCTAAAATAACGAAAACCTTCGCTAAATTTAATGAAACATATCGCTGATCAAGGTGAAATTTTTTTTGCATGTTTAATTAATTTAAAATTAAATTAATATTTATTTAATTCAACGAAGGCGCTAGTTTAATTCAAATATTTTTTTGACTTTAAAAATTCTCTCACCCACGCAGTTTTCCTAGAAGTATATCAAATTGAGACCAAAAATTGCATCAAATCTTTGCAACGTTTTGATGCACATAAGTTATATCAAAAAATGAGATCGTTTTGTGTATCATTTTTAGAAATGATACACGAAGCGGTCTCATTTTTTGATGCAAAAAATTTAATCAATTTATATCAATCATTGCCGAATTGAATCGACTCAAAATTAAACGAATTTTTTTCAGATATTTTGATAATAGTACAATTGCGGAGACCATTTCACTATTTAATTTGAAAATGAAAATAACAGAAAATCAAAGACAATGTGCAATTCGATAATTAAAAAGTGACAGCTTATAAACATAACCTAAAATGCATGAGAAAAAATTTGTCGATAAAATCAATATAGCTGAGCTTTTTAGAAGGTAGATGGCAGCACTCATCTATTTTCTTTCTTTAAATTTTTTCTGAATCGTTTTTATAAAAAGCAAAACTGCCATCTACCTTCTAAAAAGCTCGGCTATATTGATTTTATCGACAAATTTTTTCTCATGCATTTTAGGTTATGTTTATAAGCTGTCACTTTTTAATTATCGAATTGCACATTGTCTTTGATTTTCTGTTATTTTCATTTTCAAATTAAATAGTGAAATGGTCTCCGCAATTGTACTATTACTAAAATATCTGAAAAAAATTCGTTTACTTTTGAGTCGATTCAATTCGGCCATGATTGATATAAATTGATTAAATTTTTTGCATCAAAAAATGAGACCGTTTCGTGTATCATTTCTAAAAATGATACACAAAACGATCTCTTTTTGATATAACTTATGTGCATCAAAACGTTGCAACAGAAAAAGATACAATCAAGTTTACTGTGCCCTCACTTGGGATCGAACCCCTATTATTACTATTATAAATCAAGAGCTCTGACCACGGGACCATGCATTCTTGTAAAATACTTTCAAACTAATTGCGTTCTCAGAATAAGTTACAAGCATTAGAGAATAATTGCTTAAAAAGTGGAAAATTTTTATCCAAAAATCTGTTTTACACTTATAAAATAAAATAATTATTATTTTTGACACTTCACTATGCGTGTATATATATAAATAAATACCTACATAATTCATATATAATAGTGTTAAAACAATAAAGTCTGAACAAATTGTGTGAAAATTAATTTTAAACAATAGCAGTAAATATATTATAGTAAAGTGTAAAAAAAAAGAATTATTGTGTGAAATATGAGTCAAGTTTTGCAAATAAAAAAAAAAAAACAAAAGTGAATAGTATTGTATTAAATATATATATAGTTACAGTATATTTATAATGTCAATTGAAAATTATGATTTTAACAAATTATTATTTAATACAAGAACGTTAATAAAATAATGATAAGAATCTCAGGGTTACAACATATTATAATACACACATTAAATAAATATTTACTGCTCAGGAAGTATTTAAAAAAAAAAACACAATTTCAAGCTCAACAGATAGTTATAAACTTAACACTTATAACAATCGTTTTACCATATATATATATATATATATATATATATATATATATATATATATATATATATATATATTTCGATCATAAAATCATAATTATTAAAAAAATATATTTAAAAAACGGTTTAGAAGTGAAAATATATGGAAACGTTTTGGACGCGCTTTTATACTGTTTAATTTTATTGCTATCTTCATTATTTTAACGTATAAGCAATTTCTATATTTTACAGTTATTTTATTTTTATATCTAGCTTTGAAGTTTATTTTTTTCCATTTTTATTTACTTTCACTACTTTATTTATTATTATGTTTTATTTATTAGTTTATTATTTGAGCTTTATTTAATAATGTTAATTAATAATAATAATAATAATAATAATATTATTATTATTACCTATTATTTATTATTTTATTATTATTATTATCCCTCTAGATTTGAATTAGTTAAAAATAACTAATTATTAGTTAAATTTCCTTTTAGGTTATGTCAAAATAACTAAATTTGCTGGTATATACAACTATTTCAATTAGTCAAATTTGACTATTTTTTCTGTTACAGTTCCACTAAAATTTAGATACCTTTTACTAATAATTAGTTATTTTTACTAATTTCTGAAACAAAAAATAAGTCAAGATTTTACTAAAATTTATTTATTTATTCATTTGTTGTATAAGCGAGCTTACAAAAGAAAAAAAAGATTTAGTTACACGGAGAAAAATGGAAAAACGAATAAAGTAACTTTTACATATGCTTTAAAAGTAAAACCGGAACTGTCCGCAATTTCTGGTAATTTTTACTCCGGAAATAGTAAAATTTACTATTTCCGGAATAATTTTTACTATTTCAGGAGTAAATTTTACTATTTTTGGAGTAAAAATTGCCAAAAATGCGCAGAAACTATGCAGACAGTTCCTGTTTTACTTTTAAAGTATTTGTAAAAGTTATATTTTTTTCTGTGTATATTTAACTAATTCAAATTTAGAGAATTTATTATTATTATTATTATTATTATTATTATTATTATTATTATTATTATTATTATTATTATTGCTATTATTATTATTTATAATTATTTATTAGTATTATTATCATTATTGCAACTTTGAGTAAAAAAAAATAATAATTTGACAAATTTTAAATATTAATTACATTTAAAAATATCAAATATATTTCTTTCTTATATGATTTACGAGAAGGAAATAAAATCCTTTTGTCTCATATAAATATATGACATACGCAAGAAGGACAGATAAATTAAAACCATTCAATAATAATATTTTTCAAGTGATGAAAAGAGAATAATGTAATATTTGTTTATTTACAAGCTGAAAGCACACGTGTATTATTTTATTTATATATCATATCAAAAGTAAAGAAAACCAATATAAAACTGAAGAGTTTGTCGACATCTGTATATTTATATGTATATATATATATATATATATATATATATATATTTATATGAGGTTGGTTATTAAATTGTTATAATGGTGAAGAAATTATGTATATGAATTGCTTAAGGTGCGATATAATTGAATTTATTCTAAGAAACATTTATTGTTTCACGCAGATGTCACGAAGTTTTTTGAATTGCTCAACTTTTCCGCATTGTGAATAATATATATATATATATGTATATAAAAGGCCACAAATTGACGGTAGAATTTCCTTTCACATGAACGCGATATTTATCCTACTAAAAATATATATTATCGCTTTCACTATATATACCTATAATACTCTCAATGATGCGAAATCACAACTTAATACAATCTCAATTAGTTTTTATTAATATCTGCAAAAATAAAAATTTCTATATAATATTTAAACATTACTTTGTATACTCTTTAAATTTGAATTAGTGAGAATTTGCCAATTTCACTAATTTAATTTAGCAAAAATTTCTATTAATTTTTAGTCATTTTTCTAGTACAAAAAAACATACTAAATCAAATAATAATATTTTACAAAAAATTAGTGATTCTATTAATTATTTAAATTAGTGAAAAAATTCTCACTAATTTAAATTCAGAGAGTATAATAATTATTTCATTAGTACATATAATTAATACTAGTTATTTTCATTGAATTAAAGCAAACAAACAATAAATCATTTTTTTTTCCAGAAAGTTGAACACGGCAAAAAAAAAAAAAAAAGAAGAAATTTGCCCTTCCCTCTATTGCATATACATCATTCATCTTTCTATATAGAGGATTGAAAATCTGGGTCAAAGTTGCGTGCATGGAAAAATCGAAGATCAAAAGGAGGCGAATAACGAGGAGCGGAGAACAGCAAAGATAGGCAAGGTGGCTCCTCGAAAATTAAAGAACAAACGACGACGAAGAGAGAAAAAATATGTCGAGCGTCGCGGAAAGTCCTGACGGAATGGCATTACAGTCACACTATTCCCTTCGATGGAACAATCATCAAGCCCACATATTGCAAGCCTTTGAAGCATTGCTACATGCGGAAATTCTCGTTGATGTCACCCTAGTATGTTCAGAAACAAGTCTAAGGGCGCACAAAGTCGTCCTCAGTGCCTGCAGGTAAAAAAAAATTCCTATTTATATAATACTTTTATTTCAAAAAAAAAAATTCTGAATTCAATTAATTTTTAATTACTTAATTAATAATAAGTTAATTAACTAATTCTAAATTAATTCTTTCTAAATTAAAACTTATTGTTAGATAAACTGATTCTAAAGTTTTCTAATATAAAAAAAAACCTCTCTCTTTCTCTCTTGTTCTCCCTTCAATTTCTAATATTAAAAAAAGACACCATCATCGAAAAATAATGACTATTTATAATTTTTTATTTTTTGATAATCATCAATTTATAAAATTTAAATACACCATTAATTTTGGCGCCTTCTGAAATTATTGATAAAAGTAAATACGAGAGAGAGAGAGGGGGGGGGGGGAGTCAAGTCTTTTAAAATAACATTCAGTGTGGCTTTGGTACAAGAGAGAGAATTTCATTCATAAAGCTCCCCATTCATCTTCGCTTCCCCTCTTCAGTTACGATTCGGTTCAATACGAAATTCCCCTCAGAATGAAACACCGATGACTTTACAACTATCGACGGATCATTTTAAGCCTCTTACAAATTCGTCACGCCCGAGGATCAGTGATTGATGTTTTCAAAATAGGCCATCGATAAAAGACTTATTCAGCACCTCCTCTCTTATATATATATATAGGCATTTAAAACTTGAAACAGGTGGAAATGATTTTTTTCCAGTCATTTTCCAAATTGAAAATCTATTGTCATTAAAATTAAAGTGAAACTTTTTAATTATTGCGGAAAATGTAATTTTTAGAAAATTAAATATTAAAACAGTATATAGTATAATTTTATAATAATAAGAATAGTGAAAAAAGCAAAAAACGTCAAATTACTTTTTATATACTTTTAATTTCGAAAAGTTTTGAAAGTTACATAAAAGACCCAGTCGGTAATGTCAAATTCTACCTAAAAATTTCTTAAACAATTTTGTCAGTCGGTAATGTCAAATTCTACCTAAAATTTCTTAACCAAATACAAAAAAAGTAGTCAAGGCACTTATATAATTATTAAATGATACTAATTTTCAAAAAATATTTATCATAATTCTATTTCTCATTGTGATTTTTCATTTTTTTTTTTTTTTATCACTGTTACAGTCCCTTCTTCGAGAGGATATTCGCCGAGCATCCCTGCAAACATCCGGTAATAGTGTTAAAGGATTTTCCGGGTCGTGAGGTTGCAGCTCTCATCGACTTTATGTATCGTGGTGAAGTTCGCGTTGGTCGTGAAGAATTACCGGGTCTAATGAGAGCCGCAGAAAGTTTACAAGTACGAGGTCTCGCCTCATCTGAGCCAAGACCAGCTAGTCCACCGGAAACACCAACCACTGATCTCCTAATGGGTGAACCATCAACGCCCGAAGGTGCCCGACAAGGAACACCCGAGGAGGATGACAATATTTCCGAAAGTACAGTACCAACGCCAAATCGTGAAATTTTCCCCCGGGACCACAGGTTACCTCACATGAGCCACCTAAATTTCAGTCTACGAGAATTACGTGACACATGCGGTTCACTCCTAATGCCAAGACGAAAGCAAGCACGACCACGAAGAAGGTCAGGCGAATTGGTACCTCAGGATCTCAGTAGACCTCATCCACCAGCGAGTCTCAGTCCACCACCCAGTGGCCTAAATCTTAGTAATACACAACATCATCATCAGCATCATCATCATCAATCGAGCCAAGAGGACATGGCCGAGAATCTCTCAATGAAGAGATCCCTCTCACCGCCCGGTATCGGCGAACAGAATATCAAAACCGAAAGTGAGGACGCCAGCAGTCCTAGGGGTTCACCGCTAACTGGTACCAGTCTTCATGCCGAGGGTTCCCTACCCGATTTACCACCGAGTCTTCCCACAATATCAGCACTTTCCCTAACACCACCGCATCATCAAAGTGAATATCTAACCAGCCTTGGACAACTCGCCGCCCAATGGATTCCAAATCATCCCCAAAGTCAACTCACTCACGGTCATCATCCACGAGAGGACAGTCCCCACAATATACCACCACATCCATTTCAGGACTCTCCCCTGGCGCCAAGAAGATCGGTCGCCGTCTTTCCCATGGATAGTGTAACGCCCCTTGGTGGTGCCGCGGGTCTATTTCCCCACGGTGGCAATCTCGATCGTGGTTCACTTCTCGCCGATTTGCACGACAGTTTCAAACCCGAAACCCTTCATGGCCTCTTTGGCGGTGCCAGCCTCGGCGGTGGTCATCATCATCATCATCATCCCAGCAAGAAATCCAAAAAACATCGCGGCGATGGTGACGGACCAAGAAGATGGAGTGATCACGCACGTGGCCTACCAGTTGGTCGTCCCAAGGGTCAACACAGTGCACCACGAGGTGGACCACCACGTTCATGGACCAATGCCGAACTCACCGAAGCCCTACAACACGTGTGGAATAAAAAAATGACCACATCACAAGCAAGCCGCATATTTGGCATACCATACAACAGTCTTTTAATGTACGTACGTGGGAAATATGGCAAAAGTCTTAAACTCGAACAATTACGAAGGGATTGCACTGGCGCCACAACAGGTGAAGTTATGAATTCATTGAACAATAACGTCAAGGCTGCCGTCCAACCACCACAAATGCCACATCCACTCACTGGCCTCCCACATCCAGCCGATGACAATCCATTCCCACATCATCCACTTTTAAGTGGGAATTTACCGCAGGGTTTTTTCCCCGATTTTAGTGCTGCTTTTCCCGTACCAGTTAATATGGTTCATCTCCTTCCGCCAAGCGAACAAAAAGCCTTTGAACAACAAACAGGTGGTAATTGCGCCAATAGCGCAACTAGTGAATTAACAAGAAGTAGATCACCCTCGCCAATAATTCCTCCCAATCATGAAGCCGGTAGTGGTATTCCACAATCATCACCAGCACTTCTTCAACAAAATGGCGCTAATTAATTCTCACTAAGAGAATCTGTATTTTTTTTTTCGGAAGAGGGAGAGAGGACTTTTAATGGCAAGTTGTTCGAGATGAAAATCCAAAAAAAAAAAAAAAAAAACCTCACGAGGCTACAAGACTACTCTCAAATATTTTCGTCATCCCGGAATGCTCCTCACAAGACTGAATCATCATAAAAAGCAGGGTAAAGTGGACGATTACGTTTACTCTGCGCGTTATATTAATGAAACGTTCACGTATTCATGCTTTTTTTTTATATAAATATATATATATATAGAGAGAGAGAGAATGAAAATTATTTCATTATTATTAAAAAAAAAGGAGAATAATTTTCAAGGCCAGCCAACACATAAGCCAATAGGTTGAATTTCATTATGCCTCTTTTCTCTGTCGACTGCTAAACTCAATTTCAAATGTCAGAGAAATGAAAAAAAAAGCTTGTAGAGTGAATTTTTAGCAGAAATTTTGTAAAAAAAAAAAAAGAAATTCTTTTTGAAAATGCTTAAGCACAAACAGTGATATTGCCAAGCGAGATTTTGTTTTTGTCGAAAAACAAAGATTTTTTTTTTTTGGAAAAAAAGAGAATTCAGATGTTTTTTTTTTTTTATCAATGAAAAACAATTTTTTTTGCGATTCAAAAATAATTAAAATACGGGTTATGTTGAATTTGAGAGTTAAATTTGCAAATAAGAAAAAAATTAAATTATCAATTTATTGAAATTAATTTAAAAATATTTGAAATTTCAAGAAATGGAAAACGAATTTTTCCAATTATTTTTTTTCAAAAGTAATCTTCAAAAAAAAAAAATAATAAAAAAAAGTTAATAAATATGTATCAATCAACAACAATGATTGAAAAGAAAATTTTATTTGATTCAAATAATTTCTTATTTGACAATTAATAAATCAATATTTTGAATAATTATTATTTCAATTGATTAAGCAGTATTCGTTTCGAATAAAAAAATTATTAATTTGAACACTGTTTATTTGATTGAAACCAATAATTATTTGATTTAAAAATAAAAATTAATTTATTGAATCAAAAATTATTTGGTTCAAACAAAAATTATTTTGGTTCAATCAAAAATTATTTGATTTAAACAAAAATTATTGATTCAAATAAATATTTATCTGATAAGTGATTTATTATTTGAAGCAAATACATTTTTTTTCACTGCAGAATTTAAAATTATCGATTAGAAAAATACTAAATATTAAATTAAATAAATTTTTGATCTAAAAACAATATTACATCTATTGAAATAAATTTGTAATTAATTATAAATTACTATTAATTATTAAAGACTAGTTCATTACTAGTTAATTGTAAATTATAATTAATTACTAGTTAATTGTAAATTATAATTAATTACTAGTTAATTATAAATTATCATTAATTACTATTTAATTATAAATTATAATTAATTACTAGTTAATTGTAAATTATAATTAATTTTAAATAATAATTAAACCGTTTAATGAATCCTAATAAATATTTAAATCTAATTAATTTAAATTCATATATAAATTAAATAAAAATAATATAAAATAAATTAAAAAATATTTATTTCAAAACATTTTGATGTTAACATACAATTAAATATAAAGAATTAAGAAATTAAAGTTTACAATTTTTTTTTTTTGAAAAATATTAAACGAGTATATTATTTAAATTATGGTGGCGAATAACAATAATTTATATTTTTTCATTCGGTTTAAGAAAATAAATTTAAATAAATTAATTGTTAAAAAATTTCCAAACAAATTTAAGGATAAATTTTTTTTTTTATTGATATTAATATATAATATTTCCTCTATTACGAAGCAATATTATAAATAATAAATTAATTACAATTCTGAACATTGATAATAATATGTAAGTAATAAATATTTGAAAGAATAATATATAATAAATATATGTAATATTTTATAAAATACTAATAATATTAATATCTTGTTACATTAATATATTAGTATTATTACATTATTTAAACTATAATTATTCTTTTAACTTTTATTATAAAATAATTATAATCAATGCAAAGTGATTAATATATTAAATTAATAAATATATTATATTTTTAATAGAAATTAAAAAGAAAAGCACATAAAGTTGAACAAATTTTGGAAAAAAAAATTTTTAATCGAAAAAAATTGAATTATTTGAGAATTCAAATCATATATATTTTTCTGAAATAATTATTTTTTAAATTAAAAAAATTTTCAACAATTTGCATAGACTTTTTCATATATTTTTAATTTTGATAAAAATTTGGTAATTTTTCAATAATTAATTTATTTATGAATCATATTGAAAAATTCGCTTCCTTTTTTAGTGTAAATTTTAACTTATTTTATGGTTTTGTATTTGTCCTCTACTCATTAAGTAATATTATATTTAAATTGTTTATTTTTTATTTAATTATATTACTTTACTTTTATAATAATTGAACAATTAATAATCGTAAAATAATCACTTGAAACAAACATTTTATTATTTAAACAATATAAAAATATCACATGATTTTTTAATTTTCTATTAAATAAATAATTTAATTTAAATAATACTGAAAAAATAATTTCTAAATGTAAAAGTTCAATTCACAAAGTAAATAATTTCTACTTAGTTGGAACTGAACTTTTTTTATGATTTAAAATAATCGTTGATTCAACGATTTCTTGATAATAATTGATTATCGATCTATAATTTTTATTAAATTTTTTTTTTTATTTTACCATCTTTTAAAATCAATATATTTTGAATTTTTTTCAAAAAATTTTTTTTTTAAATTTTACCTTCTTTTAAAATTACTTTATTTAAAAATTTTTTTTACTTGTTTTCATTCCTAGCAATTTTTTTTGATAAAAAATTGTTTTTTTTTAAATTATTAATTGTTTAAAGTTTAATTGCAAATTTATTTTTTTTTTTTTATCTAATTTTTGTCTTTTCATATTTGTTCGTCTCATATATTTTACATAAAGAGGAATTTTTTATTCGTATCAAATATAATTGAATTATATAAATAAAAATATATTTGTCTCGAGCTGTAAATAACTATTTTTTTTTTAAAATAAAAATTTTGTTTTGTCACAAATAATAAATGGTACAAATAAATAAAGCTCTGAAATAAATATAATTTTTTCTGGCCGGGTGTATGTTTTACTGAATATATACTATAATTTAATTTTTTTTTCCACTCAATACGATCTTCAATTTAATTTCTATTATTCAATTTCTTTGATTTGATTTCTTCAGTACCGCGTGTCACACTGTATATTTAATTTTATCTTTTATTTAAATAATTTTATACTTTTTTATGTTTTATATTTTTTTTCATATTTTTATGTTTGTTTATATTTTAATATTTTTAATACAAATTTTTTTTAATAACGTCAATTATAATATTATTATCAATGAAAAATAAATATCAGTTTATTTAAACTCTAAAATAAAAATATTGTTATAAAAATTAATTAGAACTTTAATGCCTTGTAATTATGTATACAATTATTTAAATAATTTTATACTTTGGATTTTAATTAATTTAAAAAAAAAGTTCTAAAAATTAAAAAATTAAAAAGCAACTTATTGAAAAAAATAATATTTCTTTTTTCTTTGTCAAATCAGATCTTGGTAAATTTGTGACACCCTATGGTTACCCCTGACCGTGTAAAGAAAGATTTTTGCTACCCTAGTATTTTGTGCGTGAGTAAACTCCAATCGATTCCCGCTCAACAAAACACAAATCCGCTTACAAGTCGTTAAAGTTCTAACTAATTTTCGACAAAAATTAAATTCTTGTTTTGAATTTTCAAAGAAAAATTCAAATTTTATTCACTTTTCATGTTTATAAGACTTTTAATACAAAAATCAATGGGGAAAAATATATTTTATAAAAATTTCTAAAGTTGCAAAAAAAAAAATCTCAAATATTCGTTTTTAATATTTTTCAAAATAATAATGTCGTAATTTTCAACTAAAAACAAATTATAAAATACATTAATTATTAATTCAAAATTAAATTTAATAAATATTAAATATTTAATATTTCGAAATTGATAATTTAATATAAAAATAAAAATTCAAAAAAAAAAAAAAAAATTCGAAAATTTCAAATAGATGAAAAAATTAAACAAAAAAAAATTCAATATCGCAAAAATAAATATTTCATATTGATAAATAAATTTACAATTTTTTTTTTATTTATTCATAAATTCACAACGAAAATCTCGCTCGACAATATCACTTAATTAAATTGCGTATGCCAAAGAAAACATTTGTTCCATTCAAATAAAATTTGTGCAATTAAGGCAATAGGAGTTTGAAACAAAAAAAAAAAAAAAAAAAAAAAAAAAAAAACTCAAATCAAACAAAAAAAAAACACACATTATTTGTTTAAAACAGATATAAAAAATTTGTTTGATTTTCGATAAAACAAAAAAGCAAAAAAAAAAGAAAAATTTGTTAAAACTCAATTTTAGTAACGTTTTGTTTTAAAATGAACAAAATATATGCGTGTATAGATAATTGAGCGTTCGTTAAAGATGTAAAATAATATAATAATTTTTTATTTCAATAATAATTTTTGTTTGATTGGAGTAAATTTAATATTGGAGATGATAAAAAACAAAAAAACAAAAAAAAAAAAAAGAATTTTTCTTTTGGATCGAGGGTATATCGTTTTCTTATATATGTATAAAAAATAAAAGGAGGGTTTAAAAATAAAAAATTTATATAATAACATGACTCGATTATATATAAATATATGAAGTGCAATGAAAACAAAAAAAAAATTTGTTCATAAAAGAAAAACTTAGTTTTTAGTCAAGCAAAAAAAAAAAGAAAAAAAACATCACGCGCAGATTATTGTAGAATTTGAAAATTATATTCAATAAGCCTCGGGGTGAGAAATTTATATATTGTATTTAAAAAAAAAGAAAAGAGAGAACAATTGTTTTCTTTTGAAAAAAAATAGAATTTTTCTTTATAAATTTTTTTTTTTTTGAAAGTGAACAATGACAAAAAGAAAAGAGATTTTTGTATTTGATAATATCGCGAAATGCGATTTTTCGCGACATATCAATTATTATTATTATTATTATTATTATTATTACATATAGCTACTGTCAATCGCTGTTATACTTTGATTATTACTGTTCAGTATTACTACTTTAAATATTATTATTTTTTACTGATCCGGCATCACGAGTATGCCGTGTTATTTTTATTAAACGAAAACAAAAACAAGAAAAAAAAATCGAAGAATGAAAAAAAAAAA